CCCGGCGGGGGGCGGGGAGTCCTAGAAAGCGGACAGAGGCCTGGGCAGCTTACCACTGCCCTGCAGGTCCAGCACGGCGTCCAGGTTATCAGGGACGGCAGTCCAGGCATCTGCGATGAGCTTGGGGAAGCCGGGATCCATTTTCTTCTTCACCTCATTGTATCTGCAAGGAACCAGACATGGTGAACCAGTGGGGCCTCCCTAAAGGCCACCCCTCCCTGGACCTGGAGGGGAGGGCCCAGCTGATGGCTCCTGGGTGGGCCTGGGAAACCAGACCTAGCCCTTCAGGGAGGCAGGCAGCTGGCCGGAGTGGAAGGACACATTGTCAGAACTGGGTGTGAATCTCAGCTCCAGCACTCACTAGTTATGTAACCTTTACAGTCCCATAAAAACAATCGTATGATTATTGCTAACGTTTAAGCAGCGCGTTAACCACTTTCCATTTACTTTCTCAGTCAATCCTATGGCAATGCTATGACACTATTATTACCCTAATACCCACGTTCTAGACCAGACCCTTAAAAAGGGCACCCAGCCCCTAAGTGGTGGTCTGACCCAGGCCTCTCTGGCCCCAGGGCTGCAAGGTGTTGTCTGGTCTCAGTTTTACCAGCCAGAAGATGGGGTTATATTTAATTTAATGTATTAATTAACATATATGTGAAATAAAATAACATAGGCAGAGTGCCTATCCCCATATCTAGCACTTGGTGGGTGTTTGGGAAATGCTAGTTCCTGTATAAACTTTGATCCCTACTGCAGTGTGAGGAGCACTGGACTTGGAGTCCAGGAACGGGGCCCACCCATCATTCTTTCTCTGCGTAGTTTAGGCAAATTGCTACTTTTTCATCTGTCAAGTGGAGAGGACAGTTCACATCCTGGGAGAGGATCTCAGCGGAGACAGCGAGGCTACAATGCAAGCTGGTTCACGAGTCCAAGCCCTGCTCGTCACAAAGTGGACCTCCCGCCACCTGAGGCCTGGCTGCATAGCTATCCTGGGCCCTGCCTTTAATTTGGGCAAATACCTTGAGTATTAGTTGGCATATTCTTCTTCCTAGCTAGCAGCACCTCTGTCTTTTTAAGTTTTTTGGAGAGCTTTTTAAATGCTGGGGTCATTTTGATCCCTTTGTTTCTCCACTTACACTCAACTTATTCATTATTCTATAAATATTTAATGGGATCCCACTATGTGCCTGT